ATATATATATATATTACCTAGCTATCCTACGTGATAACTGCATATTGTGCATTGATTGTAATCGTCTTTGATTATGTCCTAATAGTGTGCTTGCCTATGTTGTTTCATGTGCACAATGAAGAGTGTCACAAATCATTTTTTAACTAGAAAGGCCAATATTTGCTTTGGAGCAAATATAGCGATGGGTTCACCACATTTTACCACATGGCAGGGAAAGAATGAGAAACACAAGGGAAAACAATGCTTTACAATGATATAACTATAGTATGAAGTAACATACAACTAAGACTACAACAGTTGGATAGCTATTCCCTACATTATTGGTTAGGATTGCATAATGCAAACTGTTGATTTTCAAGATAAAAAGAAGCGTTCATAGCCCGCATTCCAATGCTGGAGCAGGAAAGCTTAAAATACCTACCAAAACACTTGAATACAGACATACTGTCAGTATGGCATGGCTCTGTGCAGGTGTAAATGAAGTTAAGCCAGTTAAATCCCAACAGCCAATCAGCAAGGAGAATAGAGGAAAGCTGCATGCCTATTGGTTGATGCCTTGCATGCCATTGTGATGACTCATGTCCAAATGTGGTAAACACTGCACACTTACACAGTAATACATTAGCTATTACACAGCCAAAAAACTCAAATAAAACCATTCTAAAAGCCTGTATCACAATAATTTAAAAAACGCCTAGGGGTATTTGCCCACTGTACCTCCATACCAAATTTCAGGACCTTAGGCCCTAAAATGAAGAAGCTGAATCCATTTAAAGATATGGCAGGAGGAGGAGAAGGAGGAGGAGAAGGAGAAGAAACATCAGAAAAAGCAATATGGTTTCACCACACCACTTCGTGGTGTGGTGAACCCATAATAATCTATGTAGTATGTAATAAGGACGAAATTCGGGTATTTGCCCGCGATTGCCTTTCCGAATAAAATGTGATTTGATCAAGTTTGCATAAATGCAGCAATTACCGACGCAGGAGGCTCCGTTTGTATCAAGCAGGAATCCGGCCTGACAGGAGCAGCGGAAACTGCCATACTCATTGATACATGTTTATTCGCATGGTCCTCTTAACACTGGTCACTTAAATTTTGGAAAGTCAGAAGCCATTTGGAATTTCAAGTAAAAATTGATGTTCAACATTCAAGTTTGACATCGGTGCGTAGCACTTGGTGTAATGAGCACAGTGCGTAGCACTTGGTGTAATGAGCACAGTGGTATAAAAATTATTGTTCTGTACTGTTCACATCATTAATAATAAATACAAGCAGACTGCTGGTCTTTCCTAATAGCCCGTCAGGGCTTATAACTAGCCAAGCAAGTTTAAATTACAGGACATTCGGTCTAAGGTTCGTAGACTATAGGGCTAAATTCCCAGACCGCGGGCTGATTTACTCATAGACCATCAGAATAAAGGAGAGCATGAATTGCAGATCACTTGCTAATTACACTACATTACATTAAATGGTGTGAATATGTGAATTCTCATTAATTCTGTGGTTTTGATTGGATGCGGGGTGACTACTTAGCCCGCGCGGGCCAAAGTTAGGACTGCCAGGCAATTCTGTTAAGCCTGACGCTGTGTATTCTAGACCACCAGGCTTGCAATTTTTAAAGTCAAATATGTTGATAAATTTGTACATTCTGACCATAAAAAGACACTGGTACTTAGAAGAAAACATGATCTTTTCAATGGTATGCAAAATTTTAATGTACATCCAGGAATAACAAAGTTGAAAATCAGGGATTGCAACATAACTGTCTTGAGCTTCGGAAAGTGACATTCCAAAATTGAAGTGACTCACATTCATTTATGTCTGGTTAAGGGAATAAAAACACAATACTAACATTATCATTTTTAAAGAATTTTGAGAATTTGCTACATACATGGTAGATTTAGCGACATAACTCTTGAAGGCATAGTTTTATGTTCATGATTTTTGGCAGGCAGGTTACCATTGTGGAGACCAAGGCCATGTGCATATTTTGGCTTCGTAGGGGGCCCCTACGTCAATATAGTGTCCCTTTTGTGCTTGAGGTTTGTTAGCAGGATAACTTTAGTACAAGTTTGTATAGGCGTTTATGGGTGTTTATGAATTTTTGCAGGCAAGTTACCGTTGTAGACACCAAGGTTGAGTTCAAACATGGGAACCGTTGGTTTTCGTACGTCTCTGCAGTGGACCTTTTGTGTTCGTTCGTCCCTTGCCCAGTAGTTGTTTTGAATTGACTATTGCCTAGCTTGTTGGATGCTGTATAGGTTTTGAGATGTAGATAAAGTGGTGTAAGTTTTGACTCCCTAGTGGCTTGTGGGGAAGTACAATGTTTTTTTTTTTTTGAAGTGCAGTTGATTTCTTTAACCCAGGTTAACGACCTTCTGGCCATTGACCATTGATAAACTGACCAGACAGCTACCCACCTCAGTATGCAAGGGGTGATGGTATCAAATAGCCATGCCATGGTAACCGAAATGGCTGGGCTGTCTTTTTTGGAAACATTGGATGCGGGAATTACTTTGATCATAATACAGTATGCAGAATTCCTGATAAATGTTTTCTTCAGTAACAGTCCAAATTAAAATAACATATGAGGGCCTAACATGGGTAACGGCGCGTCTTTAAAATCTTTCAAAGGGGTTAAGAGACTATTCTGTACTCTAGACCAAATTGGTTATTAAAAAAATGAGAGAATACACATTTTCATTTCTCTAGAACAATGTCCCTTTAACGAAGGCATGGAATTTCCGAACCTCTAGTTTGCACTATAAACATTAAAAAAACATCACGGATAAAAAAAAGTCTTCTCATCTTACACATTGCACTGTTTTCCAAAAGCTATTATACGGAAACCTTATTTATTTACTTTAGCGTTGTGCTGTTTGGCAAATCAATCTGGTCATATTAATGCGGTTACAGTGACCGACCTTCTTGACAGTTGTCGCCACTCCATCCATGTTGACAGTCACAGCGGTACGAGTTAAGAAGGTTTTGGCAGGTTCCGCCGTTACGACAAGGTGAGCTGGAACACTCGTCTACATCTGACAGGCAGAAATTAAAAGGACATTTTATCACTTATAATTTAAGGTATATTTTACATTAAGATGAATAAGAACATTGCCCTTTTATATTACACATTTTATTGTTCCTGTGCCAAAACGGTTAAATGTTTTAGACAATACCTTCGTGTAGTTTGACAGAACACGATTGTCTTATATTTTTGACCATTACTAGTTTTAAGGACTAACCTGACTGACAGTTGATGCCGCTCCATCCAGGTTGACAGTCACAGTGGTAGGCGTTGATGAGGTTTTGACAGGTTCCACCGTTACGGCAAGGCGAGCTGGAACACTCGTTGATATCTGACATGCAGAAATTAAAAGAACATTTTATCACTTCCAATTTAAGGTATATTTTAAATGTACCCTATCTAGATCGGGCTTTTTTGGGCTTGGTGGGACCGGGGGGGGGCTCTTTCGGCCCCCCTTCGGAACTCGCGAACGGTATGTCGTATGACCACCAAAATGTCAGAGGATGGTGTACCAATAAAAATTTATCATATCTACATTTTTACGTCGTTGTGGCGTAATATGACGTCATTATGACGTCATAAATGTGATTTTATTGGAGAAAACCGCCTAGATAGGTTCTTCCCCGAAAACTAAACGGTGAACGACCTAACTTTACCAAGTGTTTATGACAGATTATTAGGGTGTACTAAGTCTTATGTTGCCCATAGAAACACATGTGACGTCATAAAATGACGTCAGGCATACATTAGCTATCCGCCTTCTTGGATCATCAATCTTGAAATTTGAAAAAATAGTTTTTTTTCAGGATAAGGCCTAAAATACATTGTAAAAAGAAATGGGAGTATTGATGAAATTTTAAGGAAAATAACCCGTATGTACCTGATTTAATGATATGGTCCGCCATCTTGCATTTTGGCCAATGACGTCATCAAATTAGCATAAATTATGCATTTTTAATGATAAAATTTACATATTGTTATTCGGAGATGTTATTGATATTAGAAACCATGTGTAACTTGACATGAAACCCTTAAAATTCTGTTGTTGAAATGAAAATTATTAAATTTAGCAAAAAATGCCTGTAAGAAACCCGTTGCCATGGCAACACCAAAAATCATAATCTTATTCCAATGATACAGATTTGTTGCCAACAATATTTTAGGAAAAGTCACTAAGTTTGGCGGTTCTAGCTTATGCCGTTCGGACCCTATGTGACATCAAAGTTGGCGCGGGCACTTTTAGCCCCCCCCCCCCGGTCTAGATAGGGTTAAGATGGATAAGAACATCATCATCATCAAGATAAGAACATTGCCCTTTTATATTACACATTTTATTGTTCCTGTGCCAAAACGGTTAAATGTTTTAGACAATACCTTGGTGTAGTTTGACAGAACACGATGGTCTTATATTTTATTTTGTGACCATTACTAGTTTTAAGGACTAACCTGACTGACAGTTGACGCCGGTCCATCCAGGTTGACAGTCACAGTGGTAGGCGTTGATGAGGTTTCGGCAGGTTCCGCCGTTATGACAAGGCGAACTGGAACACTCGTCTACATCTGACAGGCAGAAATTAAAAGAACATTTTATCACTTTCAATTTAAGGTATTTTAAATTAAAATCGATAAGATCATTGCCCTTTTATATTACACATTTTATTGTTCCTGTGCCAAAACTGTTTAATGTTTTAGAAAATACCTTCATGTAGTTTGACAGAACACGATTGTCTTATATTTTTGACCATTACTAGTTTTAAGGACTAACCTGTCTGACAGTTGACGCCGCTCCATCCAGGTTGACAGTCACAGTGGTAGGCGTTGATGAGGTTTTGACAGGTTCCACCGTTACGGCAAGGCGAGCTGGAACACTCGTTGATATCTGCAGAAATCAATAGAACATTTTATCACAAAAGTAGAGGTGTATATTGAATCAAGATGGATACAAACATTGTCTTCTTACATTACACCATTCGCGTGTCAAAACTGCTTAATGAGACAATGTCTCAGGACTATACCTTTGTTTTGTATGATCCAAACATTACCAAACGTTCAAAAGGATTGTACAAGTTTGCATAAATGCAGCAATTACCGACGCAGGAGACTCCGTTTGTATCAAGCAGGAATCCGGCCTGACAGGAGCAGCGGAAACTGCCATACTCATTGATACATGCTTGTTCACATGGTCCTCTTCCTCCATTAGAGTCACATTCATTTATGTCTGGTTAAGGGAACAAAAACATTATCCTAACATCATTATTGTCGAGAATTTGCTACATACATAGTGCATCTCACCTTTATTTTATTCGGGAGATAGTCATGGAATCGATCCGATTTTTTGTGGGAAACTTTGGATTTAGCGGCATAACTCTTGAAGGCATGGTTCGATATTCATGATTTTTGACAGGCAGGTTACCATTGTGGAGACCAAGGTCATGTGCACATTTTGGCTACGTAGGGGGCCCCTACGTCAATATAGTGTCCTTTTG